AGAAAAGTGGAATTTACTGGCCAAGGATGAAAAATCTAATGGGCCTCTATATAACATAGTACATGAAAAATGATTAGCAAAGGAATAAACATCCCATTTGAGTTTCCATGTTTCACCACTTTCGTGGGATAATTTATGTTTTGGGGACTCCTCGGGATTAAAATCTAACCAAAAGTCTGACTTTCAGCAACAATTATAAAGTGATAGCATTTTATAGTTGTGTCACTCTTATTATAGAAACTGTAGCAAATATGATATAATTTCCAATTAAAGTAATACAGCTATGTGTAATGTCTTGGTTGGTTTTCATTTTGTGTTTACCAACATGGCATATACTGGAGTTATCCCAGAATGGAAAACTCAGTTGAGAAAATACCTCCACCAAGTAGGCAAGTCTGTAGGATATTTTCTTGATTTCACATTTATATAGAAGGGCCCAGCAAACTCTGGGCATTGCAACAGCTTGGCAAGTGGTTCTGAATTGTATAAGAAAACAGGCTGAGAAAACGATTAGTAGCAAGCTAGTAATGGCTTCCATGGCTTCTACTTCAGTTCCTGCCTCAAGGTTCCTGCTTTAAATTCTTGTTTTTACTTCCCTCTGTGTGATTTTACTTACCTGGGTAGTATAAGATGAAATAAATTCTTTCTTCCCCAAGATGCTGTTGGTCATGGTCTTTATCAAAGCAACAAAAACTCCAGTTAAGGCATATTTGTGAGATATGTAAGTCTAAGTTTGCGTTTGTGTTTTATAAATATATATGTGTGCATATACGCATATATATGCATACATAAATATCTATGAATATGTATGGTGTGGGAGGTCCTTCTGTCTATGTGTTGTTCTTATTGGTTAACAAATAACAAAACTGTCATGATAGGGTAGAGCCGAACTAGGCAGGGAAAACTAAACGGAATGCTGGAAGAAGGAAGTCGGAGTAAGAGAGAAGCTATGTAGACTCGCTGGAGCCAGATGGAACTTCACCCAGTAAGCCACAGCCACATGGTGATATATAGATTAATAGAAATGGGTTAAATTAATATGTAAGAGACACCTAATAAGAAGCTAGAGCTAATGGGCCAAGTGGTGAATTAAATAATACAGATTATGTGAGATTATTTCAGGGCTATGTGGCCAGGGACCAACAAGTGGCCCCCTACATATGCATACCTGTGTGAATGCATGTGAAGTTTATCTAATTATGATTTTTATCATGCTGAAAAGAATATCTTATTGTAGCATTGGTAGACAAAACATGTCATTAACCTCCTTTTACTTCTATTAAAGGCTAAAGGGGGCAGAATTGGAAGGTTAATCATAGATATAAATAACTGTTATATATATTATTAAGATCAGAGAGCAGATTTCTTATTTGAAAGGGAATTAAAAAAACAAGAGTCTAAATATTTATGCCCTCAAATCTAGAATCCATTCAGGAAAGTGTGTATATGACTCTGTGTGTCTGTGTGTAGGAAGGACTTAAACATAGTAGAGGAAAACCTTTATATTTCTTCACAGTCCTTACAAGGGTGCAAACAGAGTTCACTCTGTATGCATCTGCTCCAGTAGGCAAAGAAGAATCTTGTCTGGAAGTGGGAAAAGCCAGCAAAGTAGCCCTCCTGCTGGTATCCCGTTCACGGATCCCAAAGTAAAGCTATATTTTCATTTTTCCTGTTACAGCAGAGATCTGTTGTTTGGCTACCAAATTACAGGTTGTGTCTGGTTCTCACATACTTCTGCTTTTCATGTGCTGAACAAGAGTAATAACAGGGTACTTCTTTCTCTTGTGGGATTTAGGTACTCTTCATCATAGAATGGGCCATTTTTCTAAGAAAACCTGCCAGTTTAAAAACTGGAGGTGTACACCATTCATGTGGGGATGGAAAACCCATAAAAATGAGAGGTTTTTGGCTTGAAAGATGGGTTCTAGTTACTTGTTCCCAGATCTAAATGACATGTTTATGAGTCATACCCTTATTATCTAATCCGAACAGTTCTATCCAAAGATCACTATCATTAAATGGTTGCTCAGGGAAGGGTCTCTGGGAAATTTTAGCTCAGAGAAAATTATACACATTCATTCAGTTATGGAACATCACTCAGGACACACTTTTTATTCATTTTTTTAAAGTGTGCTCTATTGATAATCTATAAAAGATAATTAAACAAAGCACAACAAATATTGTTTAAATGTATAATAACTGATATTCTGAACATAAGACCAGTTAACTTAAATACACCACATAGTGAGGGAAACTGCTGCACACATATATCAGCAATTAGTATTTGAATCAATCAGCCATTGCACAAATATTCCCTTCATTGTGTGTGTGCTCTAGCTTCACTGAGAAGTGGAAGATGACTAAATGGAGTAAGAGTGAACAAATGATGTATCCATGGAGCCCACTGACAACTGAGAAGATTGAAGGAACAGTTTATTGAGAGATCCTAGATCAGCATGCCCTACCCCAGAGTAGTATTGGGGAATTTTGCTGGTCAATTCAGGAAAGAACCTTGGAATTTTGACTCATCAGAGAATTTCTAAAGACTCTTTTTGGCAGACAGAACCCAGTTTGAGGACATCTGGGTTTCTTCAAATGAAATTAATTTATTCTTATTTTCTTGAAAAATAAAAAAAAGGAAAAAGTAGACATTTCCTTGCCCTTAAATCATTTGTTTTGTCCAAAGATTAAAAAAAAATAAAACAAATTCATTTTCACCATTATTCATATTTTTGGAATAAGAAACTATTATTACATTTTATTAGAAAAGGAAATAAAAGAACACAGTATTCAGTTTATATCAGCCCATGACACTAAAAAGACGTAGTAGAGCTGAGGATTCTTCTCAGGACCAAGGCTACACCATGAAGAGAAGTGGCTGACACTAAAAGAACTCTTGTTTTTCAGTCTTGAGGCAGAAGGATGCATTACGATGCCAGGCCCATTTTAACTGTCTTATCAAACTGTCACTTAGACACACCTTAATCTCTCCCAGGGAGTGTTTCTGCAAGTTACCATTGTTAAATTCTGCATCTCTTTTGTTTAGCAGTCTTGTCCTTAACTCATTTTTCTCTTCTCTCATTTTACTCTAGGAAGTAGCAGAAGACAGGCCTCACCTTCTACCCTGTGTTGAGTGCCCCACGTCCCCTACCCATCAACTTTGCCTTTTATAAATTATTAAGACACAAATACAAGTCCTCAGAGTCACTGTCGTCTCACACAAGATTTCCTTTGCTCCAGAGTCCTTCAGCATCTTCCTCATTTTCACCCAAGATGTCATCACAGTGGTCTTTATCCACATTTCTATGGGCGTTCTTGTCAAGACTGAGATTTTCTCAATAGCTCTCCTCCCTTTCTAAGGCCTCACCAGAACCACCCTACAGTTTGTTCAGAGTGCTTTTGCTTGTTTGTGTGTTATTTGTTTCTCTTCAGTATTTTTCTAAAGACATCTAGTCTCTAAACTTTAGTCAGTTCCCAGCTGCTTTCGTACTCCAGGCATTTGTTGCAGCCTTGCCAACTCTTTTTACCAATGTTCTGCCATAGTTTGCTCAGGCAGAGTGCTAGATGGTTTTATGTCAACATAACACAAGTTGAAGTCATCTGAGAGGATGGAATCTCAAATAAGAAGATGCTTCTATAAGATTTGGTTGCAAGCAATTCTGTAAAGTCATTTTCTTACTTAATGATTGACATTTGTAGGAAGTGCCACCCCTGGGCTGGGAGTCCTACATTCTATAAGAAAGCAGACTGAGAAAACCATGAGAAGCAAGTCAGTAGGCAGCACCCTTCTCTGGATTCTACATCAGCTCCTGCCTCCAAATTCATGACCTGTTTGAATTTCTGCCCTGACTTTCTTGGATGATGAGCAGTGATACGGAAGTGTAAGCCAAATAAACTCTTTCCTTCCCGGTGCTTTGGTCATGGTGTTTCATCATAGCAATAGTAACCCTAATCTAAGACAGGGAACTCTTACAATATAACATAAACCATACAGAGTATGAACGGATACTATGTATCACATGGTTCTGGGAAATCCAATTGAAAAGCAACACCAGTTCCATGGTTTGGTGTCTGTTCTCAGTCCTGTAGATGAGATCTTCTTGCTGTTTGCTAATAGGGGTGGGACGCTGGCTTGCTTTCTTGGAGTTTCTTACTTTTTAAAAGGCACTAATCCTAATTGTGTCAGCCCAGCTCACCTCCTGAGTTCTAATTACGCATCAAAGGTATCATTTCCCAATATCATCCATCACCTTGAGAGATAAAATTCCATTATGTAGACATCAACACTCAGGCTGTAGAATTAAGAACATGTTTGCTTTATAATCAACATTTATTTCTCTTCTGTACATTGGTGTGTTTCCAACCCTGACCTAAAAAACCATACTCTTTCTTCCCTCTGCCAAACCTATTGTCAAATAATTTTAGGTTACTGCTTTAACTAAGGCATTCAACAGTCATAGTGGTTAAGAAATAACTCTATATTATTTGAGAATATTAGGTATGTAAGTCAATATACCTTGAACTGAATGGTTTACAAATACACAAACAAGAACTTTTGTGCAAACAAAACCCCAAAATTTTGAAAAACAAGTGTCATCTCTACTTATATTTTAGAAATGATTTTGCTACTGGAATTAAAAATATCATATCAAAATCTGAAATGATTATTCGGATGACATAACTAAAATCTGAAGAAAACCAATATGTAAACTGGGACATTTATTGCTAATATCCCCAGCTACTATTGAATATTTCATCTTTTAAAATGTTGTAAATATACATTTGTCACTGATTATAAAACTCTTTGCAGCCCATAAAGCAGAAGAAATAGAAATTGAAACAAAGAAACAAAAATACTTCAGGTTGTACCATATAAAGCTTTGTGTGCCTATGGTTTTGTATTGTTAATAAAGTTGTTTCTGTTTGTGGCTCTTTTAAACTCCTTATAACACAGTCTTACTCATATCAGGGGTCCCATGCAAGGTGACACATACACTCACCAGCTTTCAAGCACTCCATTCTGATCTTGTATTTTCTGTACATTCATCTTCAGCCATTACCAAGTAAGAAGGTGCCGCTATGACCTGTGTTGGGAAATAAGCAGGTTAGGCCATTTTTCTTGATTTAGAGTTCTTCTTGCTGAGAAGCCTTTGGAAGCTGAGCCTCTCTTTAAGCAGCTGGCATGAAGACTGAAGCAGAGGCAGCAAACAGCAGCAAGAACTCCAGGTGTGGACTCTAAATCAACAAGTTTTTATATTCTCACGACCACCTCAGAGAGCGCTCAGCTCACCATACATCTGGCTTCTATTAATTGCATGCCGGAAAGAGCATATGAAGATGCTGCATATGTAATTATAAATTTTGCCAAACTATCACAGGATTGCCTAGGAGGCTGTGGCCATATCTATATCAGGAGAAGTGCAAAGAACAGGGTAATATTTGGAGCTTTGGATGTTTTCTCTATGCTGAATGACAGTTTTCTCTGGGAAAGCAATAGATAGAAGTGTTCAACTACAGTGACAGGAAAACATTAAAGATATTTCCATTGTCACAGCCTGGATGTTTGCACTAGCCTCATACATGATGCTTCAACCTATATCTTTGCCTCCACTCTTTTTATTCGGTACTAAACAGAGCATTTCATTGAGTAATGAGACAGATCCTACTACACTGATTTGGCCACTCCTTCTCACCCAGACCCTGCAGAGTGAAATTTACAATCCTCCTGAGAGAATATCCAAAGATTACCTGTGCTTCCCCCTCGCCCTACCATTGTGAGCAGGATTTTGGTTTTCTTTCCTGGGCTTATATATTTCAAACCACAGCGGCATGTCTTTTCCTTAAACACTAACTCCACCCTTTACCCTTGGGCATCTGCACTTTAAGGGATCTGTATCTGATGTCTTTCTCTTTTTTTCTCACTCTGGCTCACTTCCTTCAAATAATCATCCATAAATCATCTACTGAATGAAGCCATCTTTGACTCTCCCAGATCCTCCCCTACACACTCTCTTCAGGTTTCATCTTACATATCATTACTTTATCCATTTGCTTACCCATTGCTGTTATTAGATATTTATTATTCATATCATTCCTGTTATCTATCTTTAAAATGAATAGACTCATGGATACTAGTTTTTGTCCATCACTTTCATACCATAGAACATATTTTTATCATAGAAAAGATGATTAAAGAATTACAGCCTGAAAGATGCTGACAGGGATTTGCTGTAGATCACCGTCAATGCAGTGACTCACTTGCTTTACTCCTTCCTAGAGTGTTTCCTATTGAAGCAATAAACAGTAATCTCTTTAGAAAAGAAATATCTAATCCATGCAAGGAACCTCCCCCCTCCCTCTAAACACAGTACAAAGTAACTATTAAGGAAAACTAGAGGATGCAACAAGATTCCCAACATAGGCTGGGAGAGAAAGAGTATCTGTGGCCTTTACCTACCTGCAGGGGAACACGCAGACACTTGTCCCAGAAGTTCTTGCAATTATGTCAAGATAGAAAATACATTTAAATCCAAACAGGATGACAAATGTTTCTTCCCATCTGATTAAATATGTTAGCAGTGGTATTCAATCCCAAAACAGCACACTTATTTCATTAATGTCATTAGCAAATATATGCTTTTGCTATTTTAAAAAAAGCATATGCTCTATCTTTAAAAAAATCAAAAAGAAATGTAGTTCTGTGCAATTATGTAGTTTACATAAATTATTAATAAATAAAATTATAGCACTCTTGTCATTAGCCATCAAGTGATCTTATTTTTCTTAAGCAATTAGTTTATAAGAAAGACATAAAGCTAATTAAAATGACAACTTAGTCATCTGAGCACACAATGGCTTAGAATTAGTCCCTCTTACCCACTAGGAACTGATAATGTAATAGATATGGCTTGTGATGACCTCTTCCAAATTCCACTTTAAAGTTTTCACAACAACACCATTCTCATGGGCTTTACTCTGCGATGCTCTGCTAACATATTCTCCAAAGTCAGATTGTGTTGGTGGGAGGCCACTAGGTAGTTCCCGGTCACTTAGCCTTGACATAATTACACAGAAACAGTATTAATTAAAACACTGCTTGGCCTATAGCTCTAGCTTCTTATTTACTAACTCTTACATCTTAATTTAACCCATCTTCATTAATCTGTGCATCACCATGAGGTTGTATTCTACCAACAAAGTTTCAGCATGTCTGTCTCTGGCAGAGTCACTATGGCTTCTCTTTGACTCCACCTCTTTCTCCCAGCATTCAGTTTAGTTTTCCTCAGCTAGCTCTGTTACCTTATATCTCTGCTATAGGCCCAAAGCAGCTCCTTTATTAACCAATGATATTCACAGCATACAGAAAAGAATCCCATATCAAGCTTGAATATTAGAGTGTGTAAGAATACATCTACACAAACTATTAGAAACTCATGAATGCTTAAGTTAACTAATGTTTTCCATGGCTTGAGACATTGTCCATTCACAAACTCTGAAAGGAATATCTAGGAACAACATTTGATCAAATTGTCCATGATATACCTTAGAAAGCACTCCTTTATAAACTAGCTAGAATAATTCTGTCATGAACCAGTGTAAATGATCAAAACATCAAAAAAGTATTCAGATAAAAGCTAAACATTGAATATTACCATGTAAAACTTAAGAAATTCTATTTTAAAAAATCATCTCGGAAGTTTGAAGATAAAGCATGAGCTGAAAATATCTTTTGCATACATAATTTACTTATTTATTCTACTGTCTCATTTTATTTCTCTTCTCATATTTCCTCAGATTTGTTCTTTTGTGTCTAACAGCTTTCTTCTGTGGTTTGCACTGTCTTCATTATTCTTGTACCCCATGTTTTAGATACACGTGTGCATGCACATACACACACACACACACACACACACTCACACTTAACATCACTGTACAGGCTACTCAACTAGTTAAGGTAGGATGTGATATCAAAATCAGTTTGATTTCATATATAGAAAGCTGTTCAGAACTATCAGATAACCAGAGATTTCTAGAAAATGTCAAGGGAGAGACAAGTAGACAGACTGAACTGCATTTCATCTTGGATCTTCAATTCACAAGCTCTTGCTCTGACCATGGCAAAAATAAGTAGCAGGGCTGACTACAGAGGAGTTACAGCCAGCAACAGAACTTCTGATATGTCAGACAGTTCTCGATGACTGTATTTTGCTGAATGATGAAGTAGCAACTGCTGGAAATCATAATAGGCCTTAAAATAGCAAAAAAATTCCTGAATGACTGTATCAGGGAGTAACCAATTTCTATCATGTGTTGATGTCAATTTAGTACAAGGATATTCCCTAGAGAAAAAAGAAATGAGATTCCAGACTTGATGGCTTGTTTTTTTTTTTTTTTCTTCAAGTGATTTAAACTACATAAAAAAAAAATTCCTTCCAGGCTCAGCTATGGAGCATACTGGGAATGTCAAAAGGCCAAATGACAGGAAATGCTTTGTGTATAATCAGTTTGCTTTCCACATTTAATGTTGAAATAAGAAAATCCTCAATAGCACAGCACTCCTAGGTGGATTTGTAACCAGAAACTGTCCGAAACGCAGAGATCAAGAACTTTGTACAACACAGTTTTGTGAGTCCATGAAATGGAAGTCGGTGGATTTGGTAACATGAACGCAAAAGAGAAATTGTAATTATTAGAAATATAAGCAAGTTATGTTGACATATGCCCCCAAATTCTACCATTTATAGGTAGGATGAAGTCCTTGCACAAAGTAATTTTGAGGGCAGCCTATGCTAGGAGCAAAGATATTCTACTTTCAGCAGCCACTATTTCTCAGCTCCTTTCTCTGTCTGGTTCCTTGGGAAGAAAAGCATAGGTGCAAGAAATAAGGATCAGCTAACATATGCTCTACACTCCTGTGGTGCGGGAGACAAAAATCTATGAAATCCAGACCAGCTCAGAAGAAAACGGACAGTTATCGTAAGCAATGGCCAGATGACAGCCCCTTTACAAGCTTATGGACATTAGAACAGACATACGAGTTACATGTGCTTTGGATCTCCATGTGTTCTGGAAAATATTGAATCATTTGCAAACACGTAAAATTGGGAACTCTTATGTTAAAAGCCCCATTGATTTTTTTCTTTTTTATAGAAAGTAAAAGATATGCACCACTACATGTCTTCTTGGGAACATTTGTTCAGGACTGAAAGTGGCTATGTAGACAGTAGCAACCTAGCTCATCTCTCACTCCTTGATTATCTTATGGAAAGTATGCTTCAACATTTCCATTACCATCATCAAAGGAACTGAGAAGTTGGATGTGAAAACATCAATTGTAAAGAATAAGTTCAAAAGAGTTACTTTAGAGAAGAAAAGAGAAAATTAGAGGTTTTCACTCAATAAAAACAATGTGACTATTGACTTAGTTATATTTTCAGTTGCTGTAATAAAACATTGATGAAGAAATCTGAAGAAAGGCTTGATTTCATCTTACATTTTCAGGTAACAGTCCATCCCTGAGAAAAGCCAGAAACTCAAGCAGGGCTGGACCCTGGAGAAGTGTTCCTACTGGAATTTTCCTCATGGCTTGTTAGTATGCTCGCTTCTTTTCTTCTTCTTCTTCTTCTTCTTCTTCTTCTTCTTCTTCTTCTTCTTCTTCTTCTTCTTCTTCTTCTTCTTCTTCTTCTTCTTCTTCTTCTTCTTCCTCTTCCTCTTCCTCTTCCTCTTCTCCTCCTCCTCCTCCTTCTCCTCCTTCTCCTTCCCCTCTTCCTCCTCCTCTTCCTCCTCTTCCTCCTCTACCTCCTCCCCTTCCTCCTATTCCTCCTCCTCTTTCTCCTCTTCCTTCTCCTCTTGCTCTTCTTCCTCCTTCTTTTCTCCTCCTCCTCTTCTTCTTCTAATTAGTTTTTGAGATTATAATTATATCATTTCCCCTCTCATTTCTTTCCCATAAACCCTGCCATAAACACCACTTCATTCTCTTTCAAATTCATGGTCTCTTTTTATTTTATTGTTTTTTACAAATATGTGTGTATTCCTACATATATAAATACAAGTTTTCCAGTCTATGTAATGTTTCTTGTATGTATATCTTTTCAGGGCTGAACCTCTTGGTATTATATAACAAATTGGTGTGCTATTCTTTGGAAAAAATTTTCTTAGCTGCATATGGAATCTTTTTGCATAGGGTTGTGGCCTCGTGAATATCTCCCACACCTGCTGTTGTCATTCTTTTCAGTTCATGGCAACCATGTTAGAGAAACTTGGTGGGTGTAGCTTTTGATATTCCAAAGTTCTCTGTTCATCTGGCTCTTACAATCTTTCTGTCCCATCTTCTGCAGCGATCCCTGAGCCTTAGTTACATCAGCCTGATTTCTAATACAGTCCAGGACTACCTTCTCAGGAATGGCACAGATCCCACACTGTGAATACGCTCTCTATCAATCTTTAATCAAGACAATGTGCCTCGGACATGCCTACAAGTGACCTGATGGAGGTATGCTCCTTCATCGAGGTTTCTCTTCCCAGATAACTCTAATTTGTGTCAAGTTAACATCAGACTAGCCAGGACAATTGTCTTACTCCAATCATCTTAAGACACATTCTATATTCCAACCATAAATAATGGTATGGGATGAAATGTTGATTTTTTTTCAAAATAAATTGAACTGAAGGTAGAAGGAGAGAACCAACTCCAATAGCTGTTCTCTGACACTCCCACATGAGTTCTGAAGCCATGGCAAACAAGTGCTTTTCCCCACACATGCAAACACATGCACACACACACATGCACACACACACAAACACACAACCAACATACTAATAATAAAATTTTTCTAAATACACAGTTCCCCATGAGGCATGGGGGAGTGAAAGAGTATAACAACTGGTAAGAGAATGAGGAAGAGAGAGAGAGAGAGAGAGAGAGAGAGAGAGAGAGAGAGAGATCCCAAGACCTAGGAGCTAATACCTTAGCCAGATAGCATATGATATTTCTCCTTAAGTTTACAACTAAACAAGGAAAATATCTAAGGTTCTAAGCTTCAAAAGGCTTCTCTCTGAATTCTTTCACCGATTGCTTTGTTTCTGAGTAACTAAAATAGTTGAAACTTCACAACTCCAAGGTTCTTACTTATCTCTTAAAAAATCTTTTTAAAGATATATTTATATTTATTTCATGTATATTGATGTTTTACCTGCATGTATGTCTATTCAACATGTTCTTACAGTACCTGCAGAAGCCAAAAAAGAGCATTAGATCCCTCTGGAACTTTACAGATGGTTGTACTCACAACCATGTGGATGCCAGAAATTGAACCTGTGTCCTCTGGTAAAGCAACCCACAAATTGGCCATTGAGACACCTCTCCAGCATAGATTACCTACTAGTATATTTTTGATTTTGCAACTTTCTCAAGAAAACTTTATATATTTGAGTTCTTGGAGCTTTTTATCTACCTCTGAACACAACCTACAATTTTAAATCCTGTAATCAGTCAAAGAACAAATGAAAACTAGGTGTACTCCATTAGAGGCCAATTGTGTGTGTACAAGTGTGTGCATGAGACGATGGTAAGATATTCCAGACAAGTACTGTTAGAAACTACTGAAACTTCTTTTTAGTAAGTAAAAGTTCACAGAACTGTTTATTTTCATAGAATGCATAAGTCATTGCACTACAGAATAAACTATGTTTAATGTTGTATAAGTAAATCAACATGACATTTAAAAACTATTTTATGAATAAACTCTGATGTGTACATATCGATTCTGTTACTTAATATTATATGCCATCAAAGATCATGAGAGACAGTCTTCCCTGAAGTCCTCTCCAACACTTAGAATATAGAAATGCTCAAAATCATTTCATCACAACTATGCCTTAAAGAATTATCCTTAAAAATAATCATTAGGAAAGATACCCTATCAATATCCACAAGTATCAAGAATGACCAGTACACACTAAATTTTTAATGTCATTATATATTCTTTCCCTATTTAGGACAATTGCCTAGAGAATAGGCACATTTAAAAAGTAAAAATTGGAATATAATGAATACATTCATGTTTAGATAGTAGTGCTTAAAATTATCATTTCATGTCATGTCTTGTAAAAGGAACGGCGGGCCACTTCCTACAGCCCGGCTCCTGTCCACCTGGCTAGTTTTACACCAGAAATAATTACACAAAAACTGTATTCATTTAAACACTGCCTGGCCCATTATATCCAGCCACTTCTTGGCTAACTCTCACATCTTTATTTAACCCATATCTAGTAATCTGTGTATCACAACGGAGTCATGGCTTACCGGCAAGATTCTAATTTATGTCTGTCTGAGAATCATGGCATCTGCCTGACTCTGCTTCTTTCTCCCAGCATTCTGTTCAGTCTACTCCACCTATCTAAGCTGCTGTCCTATCAAAAGGCCAAGGCAGTATCTTTATTTGACCAATGAAAGTAACATATAGACAGAAGACCCTCCTACACCAATGTCTCAAATTCAGAACCTCATATCTGACATGCACATCCAAAGCATAGTCTACTGCTTTTAAACTATGTCCAAGTTTGCACTGAGAACTCTCTCCTAAGTGTTTTCATTGCATCCAGCTTCCAATGGCTCATTCTTCTTCATCCAGAAGTCATTTATTTGGGACAAAGATACAGAAATTCATGTTACTTCAACACAGAATATTAAGATGAGGCAGAGAGCAACAGGGTGGCTTATAAAGGGGATTCCATCTGTCAGTAGTAAATTAAAATATAATTAAATAATAATATATTGGAACTCGACAATATGCTTCCTTTACCCTGTGTTAATGGTTTATCAGATGTCTGACATGGTTTAGAGTCAAGAACATTCTGAAACTATCTATAATTAAGACCCTTGAACTGCATCCAAAAGAGGGACTATTGAATCCAATGCCTGCCATTATATA